CTATCGTCCAGTTTATGAATGTGTGTACACACACAATGTGTGTATTGCGCAGTGACGTGCGAACTCGACTTGAAAACGAATGCCTTTGCCTGCCTTATTAGACACAGTTAACCAGTTTAAAGATGCTTTCACAAATATAGCCTACATTTAAATACATTTTGGAGAACAGACAGAAGAAGATCCGTGCATTTGATCGTTGGTTGTGTTTGGCATGACATGACTGCGGGCACATGTGCAGAGTTTTAACACTTTCTAATCTGTGTCAATGGTTCCCAACCCTTTACATATGAATGCAAAACTCCATAGAGTCACTTTATTCCGACATTGTCTAATAATCCAAATGTAGTTGTATAAGTTATTATACTATTATACAAACCAAAGGACAGGCAATGGTTTTCGGGCTATAGATATAATATACAGATATACAGAAATAATGTTTGTCTCTTCTGTTTTTGTTGCAAAGATAGCTCATCTAATTATGATAATTTTAGTCATTAAAATAAAAAAATATCTAAATAATGTCATGTTATATATATATATATATATATAGGCCTATGTGATCCAAAGTAACTAGTAACTAACTACTTGAGTAGTTTTTTCATTGGATACTTTTTTACTCTTACTCAAGTAACTTTTAAGATTATTACTTTTACTTTTACTTTGAGTAAATATTTCTATAAGTACTTGTACTTTTACTTGAGTACAGTTTTTGGATACTCTACCCACCTCTGTCCATATTCACCTTTCATATTTCATTTCCCAAATATTCAAACTGATTAAAAATACAACCTATAATATTCAACAGGCGGTTTTCGGTCCATTTTATTTCGCTTTGCAAATTCGCTTCCACAAATTCAGTGGTTCAAATTCGACAGTAAATTCAACGTTGACATCCAGGAGCTGCAGGAAAAGCAGTAGATTACCGAGCATAATCTCCATCTGCTGTTAGTCGACCTCACCAGCAGGGGGTGCAAGCGCGTGTTGTTGACGAAGACCAGAGCAACAGTTAGCGCAAGCCATTCATTCATAAAAACTCAGCATGCATTATGTTTTTTGTGACAATTATCTGGGTCAGTATATATGCGGAAAAGATGATAAAGGCACAAAAGCTGTTTTTATGTTTCATTCATTGTTACTTTCCCTGTGTAGCCTTATGTTATCAGACTTTTCTACAGTGAATGGGATTATAATCTGTTTCCCTCAATACATCATCATACTCAAAGATTCCCCGAATTCCGTCAGGACAAAGCGCTTAACGTAGCTTAATGGACTACAGTGATATAAAAGACCAAACTCGCACCTTATTTGGAAAGTATGTATTGTACATGTACTGCATTAGATTAAACTGGGAAGTAGCACTTTCATATTGTTGTTCTATATTGTTAGTTTAACTAGTCGCTTTGGATAAAAGTGCCAGCTAAAAGACTAAATGTAAAATTGGGTTGACATTCGCACATTTAGGGACCGTCTCTAAAGTAACAAGTCCTATAGGCCTAAACGTTTCTAACTTCAATAGCAAACTTCAATCTATTTGAATAAATTGCGCATTATGCCTGAGCCTGACACCTACATGAACACTTTACAGTTGGCTTTATGACTGTAAGTCGTTCTTTTCAAATGGTATTTAAGTTAGAAACGTGTATACCAATTTCGTATGTAACTTTAGAGACGGTCCCTAAATGTGCGAATGTCCAATGTCAAACCAAATTTATGCCAGTATATCACTGGGAAACGCTCAGCATTAAACTTTGCGCGTTAAATTCATATTCTGAGTCCATCTGCTAGCCTGCGAGTTTGGTCTTTTATGTCCATTAAGTTACGTTAAGCGTTTTATATGTCCAGCAGGGGAATCCTGACATATTGAGGGAAACCAAACCCTAGTACTGCATGCAGCACATCGCTGCAATATAAGGTTAAGGCAACTAAACAACCAAGAGAAATATGTCAAATGTAACACTGGATCTGTACATCCGCATCGGGGGAATAACATTATCGTTCATGGTAGTAGGGTTGCCACCTATGTCTGATAAAAAACCGGGACATATCGATTACCCGCCCAACTGGGGGGGGGGTGTTTGAAGACCAAAAATGAACGGTTGAACACCAAAATTTAAATTTTAACTGTAGGCCTATACACCGAATGCTGCGCAAAAATATATCCTATATTCGCGTATTTTCAGATTTTTGTTCATGATTTTTTTTTGCCCCTTTATTAAGCATTTAAAATATTCACAAATTATATGGATAAAATGGTTTTCTAAGGCCAAACACTATATTTCTAAGGCTATAGATGATTTATAGGCTATTATAAATGTTTCTGAAAAAGTAACGAGGCATTTTAATTGTTTATTAATAAACTAGTATTTTCTAAATCGGCTGCAACATATCTCCATCTCCGCTGTAAAGCAGATGCGCCTTTAGATAAGAAATTCATATGGATTACATAATCAGACTGTATTTTCTTTTGATTCGAATTTGTTCGTTTAAAAGTGGACATTTCAAGCTTTAGCCTATGGGCTTGTTTATTTTGAGACGCGATCCAGTTCACGGAGACCATAAAAGAGCGCGACTGATTGTTTTATTTTATTTTACAAAAGCACAACGTTTTCTTGTTATTGTGAGTTTACACAAATAAAAGTAGTTGCGAATGATGTATTGTTGCGAATGATGTTTATTTTCTATGACCAGAAATGATAGAGTAGTAGGCCTATTTTAAGTTGTTTCCACTGTTGATAGAAAAACGGAAGTGCTCGCGCCCGCGCCTCGTGCAGCAAGCGCGCTCCACACTCCGATTACATGCGCTTCTTATGCGCTTCTTGAGGCAGACTCGACTCACACTAGCACACACACGCAAGGTCTCTCGCTCTCTCCCTCTCTGCCGTTGCGCGCGCTACACAGTTTGAACATACATATTCACGTAGCCCTTTGAAAACCGGGACATTCAGTGTCCCGGGAGAGTGCGTAAATTTCCCGGGACAGGTTATTAAAAAGAAGGACAATCCCGGTAAAACCGGGACAGGTGGCAACCCTACATGGTAGAGAAAGATGCATGTAACTTAGGCTACACAGGAAAAGTAATCGTGAACACACTGAATTTCACATAAAACAGACGTCATAATAATCACAAATACACTTACATTTTTGCAAATAAGTTTTTATGAATGAATGGCTTGCACTAACTGTTGCTCTGGTCTTCGTCAACAACACGCGCTTGCACCCCCTGCTGGTGTGGTCGACTAACAGCAGATGGAGATTATGCTCGGTAATCTACTACTTTTCCTGCAGCTCCTGGATGTCAATGTTGAATTTACTGTCGAATTTGAACCACTGAATTTGTGGAAGCGAATTTGCAAAGCGAAATAAAATGGACCGAAAACCGCCTGTTGAATATTATAGGTTGTATTTTTAATCAGTTTGAATATTTGGGATATGAAATATGAAAGGTGAATATGGATTATTGAAATTTTACTAATGAAAATGTGTTTGAAATGATTTCATTTGAAATATTCACAGCTTAAATATTCAACCATGCTAAATTTCAGCCTATAAAATTCAAGCCCTAAAAATACAATGCATTAAAATACAAGCAGGGTTAATGCAATGCATATTTTTTTCAAGTAGTACAATTCAACAGGCTTTTTGTTTCAAAAACATTTGGGATTATTTTACTTCCATACCTAGCATTCTCCCCTCACACATTCACCAAGTGCATAGATGCAGCTCTGGCCCCACCGAGGCTCCAGGGCATCCGCGTGCTGAATTACATCGACGACTGGCTCATCCTGGCCCAGTCTCGAGAGTTGGCAGTTTGGCATCGAGATGTCGTCCTTGACCATATTCAGCACTTGGGGTTGAGGCTCAACACGAAGAAGAGCGTGTTGATACCCGCCCAATGAACTTCGTTCTTGGGGGTGGCATGGGACTCGACGACGATGCGGGCACAGATGTCTCCTGCACGTATAAAATCCACATTGACCACACTAACCAGGGTGAAGCTAGGCCACACCATCACAGTGAAACACTTCCAGAGACTTTTGGGTCTTATGGCAGCAGCGTCCATCATGATACCTTCTGGCCTGCTGCACATGAGAGCCTTGCTGTGGTGGTTGAAAGCCAAGGGGTTTTCCCCGAGGAGGAAATCCATTCCATATGTTCCCTATCAATAGGTTTCTGTCCCAAGGTCCCAAGTTGGGAGCGTTATGTCGCCGAAAAATTATTTCGCCAGACGCCTCCCTCACGGGCTGGGGCGCGGTCATGGACGGCCGCTTTTCGAGAGGCCTCTGGCAGGACCATCATTCCTCATGGCACATCAATTGCCTGGAAATGTTGGCGGTGTTCCAAGCTCTGAGGAGTTTTCTGCCAGACCTCCAAGGTCGCCACGTGAGAACCGACAATACGTCAGTGGTGTCCTATTTAAACCGCCAGGGGGGTCTGAGGTCGCGCCTTCTGTGCAGACTGGCACATCAGATCCTCCTGTGGTCCCAGCGGAGACTTTCGTCTCTCAGGGTGATGTATGTCCCGGGGGACCAGAATGGTGGGTGCTGTTTCGTATGGCATGTGTTCGGCCAATCAACGTACACTTACGTCACTGGTAGTTCAGGTTGTGCTGGTTTAGACCCTACTCTGAAGTAGGAGCTAATTTAGTCCCCCCAAAAGCCATTCCTATAACTAAAGTCGTTCCCAGTTCCTCTGGTGTGAACACGCCAAAAAGTACTTACTTCTGCCAATAGTTATAGGAACTATGTAAACGTTCCTCCGGTGTGAAAGCCCCTTAACTCTCTAATGATAACTCTCTAACTCTCTTAACTCTCTAACTCTCTTATAACAGAATGACTAAAGGGGATCATCAAAATAAAGTGTTACCAGATGGCTAAACTTGCTCACAAATTACAGCCAGTGATATAACTATTAGCATAACTGTTTGTTCATATACAAACACACACAAAATCACAAAATGCAATTTATGCATGATAAACACAATAAACCATCACAGTACTTACCGTGGTCAGACAACAGAACCAGGTTGACACATTTGTCCAACTGTCTTTCCTTGAGGCCCTCCATCAACTGCCCAATAAGTCTGTCAACATTCATCAAAGCCTCAATTACCTGAAACACAAAACATCAATCACAATTTTGAATGAAAACATTTCACCAGCATACTGATTATGTACAGTGTTTAAGAGTGCTAACACCAAATGACATAAAATGCTGGCTTTTATGTTTTTTTTTCTTTGCAGTCAAGAGAGAAAAACATTGATGTTATATCAATCATTGCAAAAAAAAGTAACAATGACTGTGTTCATTTAATGTTTCATATCCTAAATCAGACATTTGCCCCCAAAATAAACGGAAGAAATTTAAGTTCATAAATGTTTTGCACACGTGATTTGTCTTCAGTGTACCTGGCTACTCATTGGTCCATGTCGATGACCCGCAGCATCAGGCTCTTCGAAGTATAAGGTGTAAAAATCTGGCCTAAAACAGAGTATATACACTGAAAAACAAAACTACAAATGACATCTAAATTAACTGATTTTATTCAAATCAAAATATTTCTTAACATCACTTAAACACATAAGTGCATATCAACAAAAAACACGTTTAAGGGCTAAGTAAGGTGGAAATAGCTCTTTATGGTAAGAATTGCATGTTTTTACAGTCTAGGCAGGACAAACTTAATCAATTGGCCTAATTTAAAACAAAATCACCAAAAGATAATGGAAATAAATAGCATTACCTTTCTCCTTCAGGTAAATGCAACCATTCAAAGATTTTTGCCATCCTCTGTTCAAAGGGAATGTTCCTTAAAAAAAAACAAAAAAAAAAAACAGTATATATTTGCTCTTGGAGTGTTCAGAATAGAAAATAGCTATTAATATATTTATAGTTATAGTTCATATCTTGGTGCCCATTATTTAAATCATCCGAACTTTGTTTTCTAACTTACGATGGCTGTTACTAAAAAACCTGATATCTTCTGAGTTCAGCAGAGTGTAATGAATGTATTGCACTGTGTCACCTGCTTCAAAGGGTTCAAAAGCTTTTAAATATACTGTAATATGAAGTGTGGCTCTTAATTCCTAGTGTTTGATGTGAATTACAGTCAGTCCTCCTCACAACTCTAATGTGTTGTGCTTTTAAAATGTTAAAATCCAGTAAATAACAATGTTAAAACAATGCGGTTGTCATAATGTGGGTCTTGTGTTCTGTCATGTTTAGTGTCATTAGTGTCTTGTCATTAGTTATCCCAGGTGTTTCTTGTTATCCACGCCCCCTTGTTATCCTGTCTGCTCGTTTGTCACTGATTATTTAAGCCCTGTGTTTCTGCCCTGTCTTTGTCAGTTATTGAATGTATTTACGAGTGTCTTGGCTGTTCTGAGTTTACCCGAGTCTGCATTATTAAAGTCTACTGCTGCATTTAGATCCGACTACCGCCTTTGCTTCCACGCAATTCGTAACAGAATAACTGACCACCAGGATCAAGCAGTTAGTACCCGGGAACCACCGACCGTAAAGCAAGAGGTATGATGATGGAGGACGGATTCTACCAGAATGGACGGTCGCTTGAGGAGTACGTGGGGGCTTACCTAGAGTTTTATCATGAGACAAATTTGAGTGAGGAAACACTCAAGTATAATTTCTGGAGTGGGATGGACGACACGCTCGGCGCAATGCTTCTGTTAGATGCGGAACACCTCTCTTTTGTGCAGTTCCTGGACCGAGCGTTGTGGGTGTGCGGTTCGTCACTCACTGTAGGACTCGCTGAGGAAATCAGCTGTGTTCCCAAACCAGGGCATTCCGTCAAGACCGTTCCAGGTAATTCCAAGCACAGTTCACGTAAGAGAGTTTCCAACCGAGCTCTGAGAAAGCCCGTTCGCCGCATCCGCACTGCCGACACCGCGCTCCACAAGCCTGCAATTCACGTCTGCCCAGTCGACCCCGCGCTTCACTTCAGCCCTGCCGACACCGCGCTCCACAAGCCTGCAACTCACGTCTGTCCAGCCGAACCCGCGCTTCACGTGAGCCAAGTCAAGCCTGCTTTTCACGACATGCCTGAGCTTTTTCCCGCCGAGACTGACATGCCTGAGTTTCTGTCTTCCGAGCCCGCGACTGACGTCTGCCCAGCCGAACCCCCGTTTCACGAGTCGAGTCCCGAGTCGAGTCCCGAGTCGAGTCCCGAGTCGAGTCCCGAGTCGAGTCCCGAGTCAAGTGAACCGAGTCCCGAGTCGAGCGTGCCAAGCGCCAAGTGAAGTGAATCAAGTGCCGTATCAAGTGAATCAAGTGAGTCAAGTGCCAAGTCAAGTGCCAAGTCAAGTGAATCAAGTGCCAAGTCAAGTGAGTCAAGAGCCGAGTCAAGTGAGTCAAGTGGTGAATCTAGCCAAGTTAGAGTATCAAGCCCAGTGACTCGCCGTCGCAGGAGGAGAAGGAGGACTCGTTTGGTTCGCCAGGCTCCGGTGGGCGTTCCCAGACGCCTCGCCCTGCCGGTCCCGCCTGTGCGCCTCGCCCTGCCGGTCCCGCCTGTGCGCCTCGCCCTGCCGGTCCCGCCTGTGCGCCTCGCCCTGCCGGTCCCGCCTGTGCGCCTCGCCCTGCTGGTCCCGCCTGTGCGCCTCGCCCTGCCGGCCCCGCCTCTGCGCCTCGCCCTGCCGGCCCCGCCTCTGCGCCTCGCCCTGCCTATATCTATCAAGCTCCATGAGACTGTTCCAGAGCCCGTTGCCAGCCCGGAGGTTGTTCCCCTAGGTTCTCCCAAGTATTTTTTTGGGGGGGGGGGGGGGGCAGTAGGAGGTCCCACGAAAGGGTCATGGAGGCAGCGCTGACATGGACCTTGTCGATGCTATCTCCTCCTGAGCCTCCTATGCCCTCGTCTCCTGCCAAGCGTGCTCCGCCCTGGCCTTCGCCTCGTCCTGCTCCGCCCTGGCCTTCGCCTCGTCCTGCTCCGCCCAGTCTGGTCCGCCCACGCTCTGCGGCCCAGGCCCGCCTTGCCTAGGTCCTGGTCCCGTTCCCCTGCACGGGCCTGGCCCTCCATCCCTCCCCCAAGACCGCCTGTGCTTCACCGCCCTCCTGAACTTTTTTTGTTTTTTTTTTGTTTTGTTGGGCGTCAGGAGCCGCCCTTAAGGGGGGGTTATGTCATAATGTGGGTCTTGTGTTCTGTCATGTTTAGTGTCATTAGTGTCTTGTCATTAGTTATCCCAGGTGTTTCTTGTTATCCACGCCCCCTTGTTATCCTGTTTGCTCGTTTGTCTCTGATTATTTAAGCCCTGTGTTTCTGCCCTGTCTTTGTCAGTTATTGAATGTATTTACGAGTGTCTTGGCTGTTCTGAGTTTACCCGAGTCTGCATTATTAAAGTCTACTGCTGCATTTAGATCCGACTACCGCCTTTGCTTCCACGCAATTCGTAACAGCGGTATTGTAAATATCCACCTGTCATACTTCACCCAGAAATTTGGGTATTTTCCGTTGACTTTCACATCGGATCCAGGCCAGAAGAAAGTTGCCGTTTTTAGTTTGTTTCTCATGGCTGTGAGCCAAACCTAAAAACAATCACAGGAAAAACTAAATGAGAGTGCTGACAAAAGATGAAGCACAGAAAAGATAAAAAAAAACACCACTTAGAATAAAAAATAGAAAGTGATGCAAATTATGTCATATGTCATATTAGCTACTTGCAGCAGGAGTAACATTACAGTAAGTGTTACTTGTAACAAACTTTCTGCAACTCTGCTTTTTAAATTAACTTAAGATTCATGTTGAGGCAGTGTTTTTTAATATAAGTGATATAATATAGCTTTTGTTAATATTTTGAATAAAAATTTGAATAAACTTTAACTTTAAATTTTTTTTTTTTTTTTTTTTTTTTTTTAGTTAATGTTTTTTTTTATTTCAAGTAATGAAAATGTTTTTAATGTTTTTAGTTTTAGTTAAGGGACTGGAAATGCAGCTTCATTCATTCACAGTTCCTTTGGAAGAACAAAAGTAAAAAACTAAATATGGTCGCTACTATGGATGTGTCCGAAGCCGAATACTGTTCGGAAAGGAAACGGCACATTCTAAGGAGCCCCTAAAGAAACATGGTGATGGAACAGAAATATGACATGGGAGGGGAAAAAATCTATTAAATAGTAGTCTCGCAGTTATATAGTCGGGTAATTATATTGCATATAATTTGTGGGCATCAGGGAGACGCTATCAATATACTGAGTATTGAAATCGTTTTTGAATGCGAGATAAGCCACAATACGGATTTAGGTTCTGGGCACATCCATAGTTGCTACTACAGTGAAGCACATATGGTCATGAAGAAGCATTAAAAATTCAAGTATGCATGCCTTCAGTCAGAAACCACAAAGCCATCTCTGTAATTACTGTACAAGGCAACATATAAGATGGATTCTAACCCAGTCTTCAAGGTAACACAGGCTACCACTGAATGTGAACATTAGAGACCATTAGTTATTTAGTCTCAAATGGCAAAATCTGCCAATTTTTTCAAGCAAATCTCTAGATCTCCTAGTAGAACCCCTCACACTGCACACATTTCAGCACCATGGACGGGGCAAAGCAAAGGCACGTAGCTGAAAGTCGAGCACGAAAACGAACAACAAGGGCAAGTGTTCCCAGTGAAGAGTTAAAGGAAGTTCAGAAGCCCTGACCGGCAGCAACCAGGATGTTTTTTTGAGCATTTGCTTCATGTTTGCTTGCACATCTGTGCACCACCCTTCATTACCCTCAAACAGCTATCTTGGTGAACTCTAAAGATAATGATGATGATGATGAGGTAACAGAGGATGGGTGTGACTTTCCTCTTATCCCACACTGATACAGGGTCATTTGGACCATCTCTGCCTCAAGAGCTTGAAGAAAGTTCCACTCTATATCTTGACAACAAAAAAACAAATGCGAGAGGATTTGTCCAGAACAGTGTGATCCAAAAGAACATCAGGACTCTTCAAGCAGTGCCTACCGAGGCTCAATTATGGGTCATGAAGCAGGAATTTGAAAGGATGTGCTATTGAAGAATTAGGATGCTCACAGTTCAAGCCAATTGTGACGTACCCAAAACTGAAAGGCTTATTTTGCATTGGGTTCCTTTTTAGTTCGGTCACGTTCGACGTAGTCAGATGTACCGTACTGACTGGGATCGCTTTGAGAGACCAATCTACTTCGACTGTAATAAAATATAATCAGTTACTACCCAGCAATGTATCCAGATAACGTTGCATATAAAATATATCCAGCTTTATGTATAGAGTTAAATCCGTGCGTATGTATTTTTTCAGTTTCATCTGTGTGCATATACTCACTGGTTCACCTAGGTACCACGAGGGGTTGAATTTCTCATCGACTTTCAAACTGAAAGAGGCATTACGAGTGACATCATACATCTTATTGTCCACAATTCCATGTGATTCTGGATATAGACCCTGCAAACGAAAAATGCTTTATTAAAAAAGCCGTATTTCACTCATTACAAATCAGGATGAGCAAAGAAAATGAACTTGTCTGGTCTGTAAGCAACCAATGGAACTAACAGTAACTTATTAATTTGATAGTCGTACCCTATATTGGTGTAAATGGAAAGGGATTCAAATCAAACACATAAAATATCTACTACAGAAAGCAATAACAACTGTCATTACATTTTGATGCATATAGTTCTTCAAGAGCAATTGTGGATTAATGTCTACCTGTCACTTACTGTCACTATAGTGTAATGGTTTGGGAAGGTCTTGGTGGGATAAGCAGGTCGCATATATGGCGTGGAGGTTCCACATTTCTCTGAGGAAACAAAACATGGCATTACCTCAAACACTTTACAAAACCAATTGTGTACTAGTTAATATAAACCAGTGGTTATCAACCAGGGGGTTGGGGCCCATTAGGGGCCCTCAGCAAACTTCCAAAGGGGTTTCAAGATGAATTAATATGATTTAAAATAAGACAAAAAAAAGATGGAAAATCTGGATATACTATATGAGGTAGCCTAATTTTTGTGCTTTCTACACCTGGAAAAGTGGTGAGAGATAACTCACCATGTCATGTCATGAGATAACACACGCACGCACGCACGCACGCACGCAATAGCCATTATAGCAGGTTACATCGACTGAATGTACTGTCATGTTGCCATGCTACTCAGTGCGGCTGGCTACGCAATACTCGTTCCTTACTCTCAGTGAACCGAGGTTACGAAAGTAACAGAGTACGTTCCCTTTCGAGAACGGTCACTTCGTATTGCATAGTTATACACAGTGGGAACGCCATGCAAAACGCCACACCGAGTAGCTGGTTGAAACTGCAGCTTGTGGGCCTACAGAACCAGCCAGAAACCAGTATATAATAAGAAGACCGGACACCGTCGGGCCTCAAAATATACCCATATATAAATGTAATGCCCATACATCCATGTTTAACCCAATAACTTAAGACCAGACACAGTCGGGTCTTTAAAATAAAGGGATAAGATAACCGGCCAGAGGCGAGTTTTATAATAAATTAATGTGTGCTTATGACATTGACATATAATGTGGATAAGACCGGACACATGTCGGGCCTAAATCATTCAGAAAGGATCCCTGCCTGCAGGGAAGGTACCTCCATGTTATAGAATTTCACGCACGTAGAAGGCGAGGACCAACCAGCCGCCACACAGATATAGTGAATGGGAAACCCAGAAGATCAAGCCCAAGACGAGGCTATGCCTCTAGTCGAATGAGCTCTAGTCCCAATAGGGCAAACCTGACACTGGAGAGCCCATGGAGAGCCCATAAATCGGGTCGTGGGTGCCATATCGTCCCTTCCGCCTGTGTGAGGAGATCTTTCCTAAACGGAACAGGCCAGAGGACTTTGTCCACCATCTGAACCAGCTCCGGAAACCACGGTCTCGATTTCCAGGAGGGGGGCTACCAGGAGGACTGGGCATCCGCTCTCCCTGACCCGTTCGATAACCTGGGGTATCATGGAGATGTGATAAGCTGCGATAGCTGCCACATACACTTTGAGCGTAGACGGGGTCCTACCCGCGTCTAACAGCTCTAACAGGAAGGAGAGCACCACTGGTACCTCGCATGACATGGGTTCAAAACGTTTGTCCAGACACCAGCTGGAAAACACTGACCATTTAGAAGCATACGAGCGCCTAGTAGAAGGGGCCCTGGCTTCATTGATCGTGCTGAGGACCTTCTCAGGAAGGTTCCCGGGTACCCATTGAGGAGCCACACATGGAGAGCCCATAAATCGGGTCATGGGTGCCATATTGTCCCTTCCGCCTGTGTGAGGAGATCTTTCCTAAACGGAACAGGCCAGGGGACTTTGTCCACCATCTGAACCAGCTCCGGAAACCACGGTCTGGATTTCCAGAGAGGGGGCTACCAGGAGGACTGGGCATCCGCTCTCCCTGACCCGTTCGATAACCTGGGGTATCATTGAGACGGGGGGAAATGCATAGAGGGGGAGGTTGGGCCAACGCATCCCTTACCTTCGAGAAGAACACTGCGCAATGAGTGTTGTTCCTTGAGGTGAAGAGGTCGATTTCGGCCTCGCCAAACACTTCCCATATCAGGCGCACTGTCTGAGGATTCAGGGACCACTCGCCTAGGGGAGTGTTGCCCCGTGACCAGAGGTGGGTAGTAACGAAGTACAGTACTTTTACTTCGTTACGTTGGGCGACGTTCCTCTCGTTACTTTATTTTAATGCAATATGTTGTTAAAAGCGTTTATTCTAAGCGCGCGCTCTCTCTTTTTTCTGGGCATGAGCGATGCTCAATTCACAAATGAATCACTCTTTTGAGTCGATCCTGTTCAAAGACTTCATCAAACAAGTTGGGCAGATCTGTCTAAATCGGTTCGCGAATCAGTTTGAATGATCTGTTTAGTTTCCTCACGCACTGAATCGTCTCGGAGTCGTAACAGGAAGATTTAAGAACGTCAAGAGTGTTGTATGAAGTGGCGGTCCAGAGTCTACAGTAGGCTACAGTCTAGAAAGTAAATCCGCAAATGCATCATATTTTTTGCCAGCGATGAAGATCTTTATTAGTTGAACATCTTCGTATGTTACTTCGTAAGCTGTCTGTGAATGAATTATTCCACACGACGATACATTCGATTTCATTCAGTTAATTCATTTTACAACCAAACAGATTATTACGCCATATAGCACTACTACAAAGTATGACATTACCCTTTTTTTGGACATATACATTACTTTATAGTTATACATTAAATAAGCTATCATCGTCCAGTTTATGAATGTTTGTACACACACAATGTGTGTGTATTGCGCAGTGGCGTGCGAACTCGACTTGAAAACGAATGCCTTTGCCTGCCTTATTAGACTCAGTTAACCAGTTTAAAGATGCTTTCATAAATATAGCCTACATTTAAATACATTTTGGAGAACAGACAGAAGAAGATCCGTGCATTTGATCGTTGTTTGTGTTGGGCATGACATGACTGCGATCACATGTGAAGAGTTTTAACTCTTTCTAATATGTGTCAATGGTTCCCACCCTTTTACATATGAATCCAAAACTCCATAGAGTCACTTTATTCCAACATTGTCTAATAATCCAAATGTAGTTGTATTTAGTTACTATACTATTATACAAACCAAAGGACAGGTAATGGTTTTCAGGCTACAGATATAATATACAGATATACAGAAATAATGTTTGTCTCTTCTGTTTTTGTTGCAAAGATAGCTTATCTAATTATGATAATAGTCATTTAAATGAAAAAAATTCTAAATAATATCATGTTATATATACAGTATATATATACTGTATATATATATATATATATATATATATATATATATATATATATATAGGCCTATTTGATCCAAAGTAACTAGTAACTAACTACTTGAGTAGTTTTTTCATTGGATACTTTTTTACTCTTAATCCAAGTAACTTTTAAGATTATTACTTTTACTTTTACTTTGAGTAAATATTTCTATAAGTACTTGTACTTTTACTTGAGTACAGTTTTTGGATACTCTACCCACCTCTGCCCGTGACAGCATATCCGCACCCGTGTTGAGGATGCCTGGGATATGTGCTGCTCTCAGAGAGCTCAGATTGACTTGTGCCCAAATAAGGAGGTCTCTCACCAGGGCATTCAGGCTGCCCGACCTGACGCCGCCCTGGCGATTTATGTATGAAACCACTGATGTTTTGTCCGTCCGGACTAACACCTGGTGTCCCATGATGTTTGGCAGAAACGCTTTGAGGGCTAGACAAACTGCTTTCATTTCCAGGCAGTTGATGTGTAAGCTCTGCTCCGTGCTCGACCAGAGGCTGGAGACAGGCTTGCCCTTGTGTAATGCTCCCCAACCCTGGTTGGATGCATCTTTGAAAACCACCTTCCAAGTGGAAATCACACCCAGGCTCACACCCTCGAGATACCAGTCTTGAGCCTGCCAGGAAATAAGGGCCCGAAGACAACCCGTGATTCACCGTGACAAATAGGCTGCCTGACCGCCACTCGCGTGCTGGCACATGGCGCTTGAGCCAGTGTTCCAGTGGGCGCATGCGCAGTAGTCCCATACCGAGTACTGACGATGCGGCTACCATGAGACCAAGAAGTCTCTGAAACTTTTTCAGGCGTGAGCGCTCGTCTGCCTTGAAGGAGGCTGTGAGCTGTTGATTAGAGTGTGCGCGCTCTGCTGTGAGGCGCGCTCTCATAGTCATAGAGTCGATAACTGTGCCCAGAAAGATCACACTCTGGCTGGGACTCAGTTTGCTCTTGGATATATTGATTCTGTGACCCAGACATTGCAAATGGTTCAGAATCAAAGATCTGTGATGTAACAGTTCGGTTCTCGACTGAGCTAGAATCAGCCAATCGTCAAGATAATTCAGCACGCGCACCCCTTGAAGCCTCAGGGGGGAGAGCGCCGCGTCCATGCACTTTGTGAACGTACGAGGTGCTAAAGACAGGCCGAAGGGCAGAACTGTGTACTGATAATCCTGACAAGGGGCCTGCTGGCGCCCCGGCAGAAACCAGCCGTCCAGCCGACTCCAAGGAGGCTCCTCGGGCGAGGGCCACTCGAGCCTGAGGTCCGCGACGGCCTTGGTTAGGATCCGAAGCATCTCAGCGTCAGAGTTAGTCCCGGTAGCTGCGGCGCTCGCGCCCGACTGAGAAGCGATGGCGAGGTCAACTGAGCCCGACCAATCCTCCTCAGAAGCAGCAATGGAGAGGCTGTCGTCGTGGTCGTCGATCGATCCGCGAAAGAGACCAGGCCCACCGGGGGGTGGGGGGGTGGGGGGATGGCTGCTGGTCTCCCTCGAACAGAACCGGAGACGGTGTCAGGGTAGGGGAAAACGAAACACGCAGGGACGTGGCCTCCATACCCTCAGGTTGACGCTGGCTGTGGCGCTTCTTTTTCCTGGGCCGAAGAAAGGCGGGGAAGGAGGGGCAGGGGAAGCAGCGTCGCCATCTTGCGAGCGAGAGCGAGCCGCGACCGCAGCGTCGAGACGGGCATGCCTTCACAGACCGAGCATCCCCCGGCAGAAAGTGCAGCTTGAGCATGGGCGGAACCCAGGCACGCAAGAAGAGAGCCGCACGTGGCGCATGACGTGCGAGGTATTTGGAACAACGCTCGCGTTCCTAAAAGCAAATATAGCAAAGGATATGTGTTGGTCGCCGGATAGCGACAGCAGAGAGGCGACAGGGGAAGACGGCTTCTCAACGAAGACGAAAACCGCTGTAGAGATGCACACTCTAACTGTAGGGCTGGATTCAAAGCTTTCAGAGGACTCAGAGACGTGAAGTGTATGTCGCTGAAGGAGATGAAATCCGCTATAATGGCTATTTCGGGGGCTTTTATGGGCTCTGGCCACGCCGCTTGTGGCGGGCTCTGACGTGAATGACGTAATGATAGCTCATTGGCGCACACGTTGGAGCCGCCCGCGCCATTGGATGTGCAGTTGCTGCAGCACAGCCAATGAGTGAGCCAGACACTCACTGTGCTAGCTGTGCAGCTGCAAAATGCATTTTACATTAAGATTTTGTTTAAATAATAAACATTTAGCAGATTCTGCAAGCTGTATGTAAACTTTTGAGCACGACTGTAGCCGGGGTCAAACTGAGTGTACTGAGTTAATGTGACATACTGAGTTTGCTGATGACAGGAAGCAGGGTGCTGTACGCCTTCATGTATCCTGCCCTGAATCCGTCCAGAGACACCAGCAGCAGCGGCGCTTTAGAAAACCTAAAGGAAAAGATGAAATGCTTTTTTCAAATGCTTGTCATACCATGGAAACAAGTAGCTTCCTCTTTTAGTAGAAGTGCTCATGCGTAAGTAAAAATAGCAATAGGAAACATGAGCAGTTTCACCCAGAGTAGAGCAGATGTCGGTGTATGCCTACAGGCAGAGCCCAAAACACCATGTCTCACCCAAAACGCCAAATCCAACAACATGCTTTGAAATTGACTTGAATTGCTGAAAAAGCTCTCAGTAAAAAACCAACTTTCATGATCTAACGGTTGATTTAGTAAAAAGTATTATTTTTATTTATTATTCTCTATTTGTTTTGATCATAAAGCTTTTAAAGCTGGTTTTGGATGAGTGATTTAATAGACAGGGATATTGTGCCTTTGGTAATATTCAAAACTAACAATTTGCTTTTGTAATATCTTATGTAAAGGCAACACTAAAGAGTTACATTAGCATGCCGTTCCGCTTCCACACAACTCCTAAAAGACCCATCAGCCATCCTTAACTGTATCCTTCAAAACTGAAAAGAAGATTGTGCCTTTATAGAAACAGAATAATGCATAAAACATTAGCTAATTTTTTTATAATAAAATAAGTTATAAAATGAAAGGAAACGCCACGGAATATACAAGCCCACTGCAAAACAACAATTTTCCTAAATATTACTTTTATATTTTTTAAATTATTATGGCTCCCCACTACACCTCATAATGTGTTTTTATGATGAGATGAAATGGCAGTGATAACTGTTTGAAAGTCTTCTCAACAGAGCACATGGCTCATTAAGTTGTCTGTTTGTGTTTATGCCAGTGAATGTCATTACGGGCAAAGCTGAATGCATTTCAGAGTGAGTTTATTATAGCTAATGGAAAAGACAGCACCGACCAAACAGTCCATTTACCCAGAGTCAGACATAAACACACACACACGCCCAAACATCTCTCCGTGCATCTAAATAGATGCATTTATATACAGTGCCATTTAAAAGTCTGAGTCCACATGTGATTTAAAAGCCAAATAAAACTTACGTTTTAGGATGCTGGCAATTTAAAACAAATTATTATGATATACAATAAATACTATTTATAAACCACTAATCAAATAAGTACACTGGTGATCTAAATACTCCAATACTCCAATACAATACATGATTTCCAAAGTCATGTTAATTCTTTCAGTTCAACTACTGAAGTTATGCTCATATGATTTGTCACGAAAAAAACAACATTAAAGTGCCTCTATTATGCTATTTTAAAGGCTCCTAGTTTTGTTTTGGAGGTCTCCTACAACAGGTTGACATGCATCAAAAGTAAAAAAAACAGTTTAATTTTCTCATTATATATACATTGCACATCACCACATTGTTCAATGATTCTCAAACGACTCGTCGGATGAATCCCTCCATTCCGAGGGCCTACTCTGCTCTGATTGGCCAGATGGCCTAGTCTGTTGTGATTGGTCTACCGCGTACAGCGCGTGTTTTGGAAGCTAATGCCCATTACCATAACTGAACGTCAGCTCTGTCCGGGGGCTTCTTTCTAAAGCTCAGCGATTGTACACACTATAAAAACAGTAAAGATGACGTTGATTTTACCAATCCGCACGCGAGTACGATGACGAAACATTGGAAGAACTTATTCAACCCGATCCTCCATCGCAAGGACGAGGCCAGGCTTGGATTTATGTTGTGCTTTGTTATATGTGACAGCAGTCGTCCGTGAGGGGCTGCAGCTTTTACTTTCGTATTTGTTTAATTTGTATTAAACTCTTTGAATGTCCGCCGGTACCTGCCCCCTTCTTCCCATAACATCGAACCCGCGTTGAACTCCGAGATTTGAGAAGCAGTCATCAGTAAAATGACTTTTTAGGGGGATGGTCAAGTTGTTTGTGGGCGGACAACGTACAACAAACTAAGGCGGGCATTATGCAAATGTATATTGTAGTGACGTAGAACAGTAAACCAGTAGGATTCGAATTAAAAAGGACTCGTAAAGGCGGTTCAGAGTCGATTCTTTCTTTTGGGAGACATTAACTTCATTTATAGTGCACTTTCGACTTTACATCTTTGCAGAACGTTTACATTCACAAACAGCTATATTACACACTGCATGAAAGGGAATATTCGAAAAACATAATAGGACCACTTTAAGTTATTCAATTACGGAAAATGCAATGGACTAAGACCCTCCACCTCCCCCAGCTCCACCTGTCTAGATCTGCTACAGGATTAATGTATGTTTATTTATGCAGCAGCAGCATATCTTAAATCTTCTGTTCATTGCTGTTGGGTCTCGTTTATGTTAGATGTGTTGTATGCTGTTTTCAAGTGATAAGAATTAGCTGTCAGCGGCTAATACACCTAGAGGAACAAAAATGGCTATGATTGTGTACATAAACGTTACTGAAGTATGACAACTAGTGGAATTATGACTGCTGATACGTCATATGTGAGCAATTTGTTTTTTCAAAGGGTTGGAAGATCAGTTCCAGTGAAGTCTGTGAAGTCTTTGGCTAACAGTGAGGCAGCTGTTTTAGCTTTCGGACGTAGCCAGGGATATAATTTTCAAAATAAACAAATAATGTTTTATCCCAAAAGTTGGTGAAAACATATTGTCAAAGGAACGTGGCGGCCAACACACACAATGTATCTATAAAACATTCAAAGGCTCATTAACTATAGATGCTAATTTCTAAGCTTTGAGTTAAGGATATGAACCTGATACAGAGCCACAGATCTCATTTGTAAACATAAGTCTGTTACCCAGCAGGACATTGAGGAGTCCTGATGTCCTCACAGTCCTCTTCAAGCCAAGTTTTTTCACCTATGAAGAAAGAAGGAAGAGAAAGCAAGTATTAGTATTAGGCCAGGTGTATTTGTTCTTGCAGTGTTACATTTTCCAAGGTTTGCATCGACTTAACAGTGAGAAAGTGAAATGAAAGGGCAATGAGGAACAATTCAGTTTTTTTGAAGGAGGGAGAGGGTGGAATAGTTGGCCTTGGTGTGACAATAACACTACACACATATTCAGACAAAATCAATCAAGAAGGAAGCCAAACTAACATAAAAAATACTGGAACTTCATCACAGTCTTCTAATGATAAAAACAAACAACTGACAAAGTCCAGGCAGCTTATTTTCAAGTGATAAGAATTAGCTGTCAGTGGCTAAGCACCTACAGGAACAACGTGGCTGTGATTGTGTACATAAACGTTACTGAAGTATGACAACTAGTGGAATTATCTAAACAACATCTAAAAGGGTTAACACATGCATCATGTGTGTGCAATTTGGGTTTTCAAAGGGTTCGAAGATCAGTTCCACTGCTCTCATTTCAGCTCCAGCCAAATCTTGAACCCCTCCCCCCAAATGTGTATCAGCTTTTAGTGCAACACTTTAAGATATAATACAGAAATTAGCTTTTTACTGGAGTAAATGTGAGATGACTGCCATAAAACAATTGTGATGCTTTATCACTATTTAGACACTATTCTGTTCCTCACACCCGAAAAGTGGCCTAAAATAATCAGCTGAACATTTGTGAAAATATTTCAAAGAAAAACATCTGGCCATGAAAACATCATGTAGGCAAGATGCACAGCTCTCTATCCTGCTGAGCGGAGATGAACTCCAGGCCCGGATAACTTCAAAGACAAATCCTTCAGATCCATCACAACTTCACAGCAGCTATGAGCCGTTGAATAGGGGTGTAACGATACCACCATGTCACGATTCGATACATATCAAGATATACTCACGATATGATATTATTGCGATACTCCAAGATATATGGTAAAAGGAAAAAAAACTTACAGTTGATTAAAATGATAAATGAATAGGCTTGGACTTAGTGTTGGAAACCCAATGCACAGGACAATGGTGATGCCAGAATAAAAATATTGATGATTCTGAAGCTGAATACATATTGTCACTATCCACGATATTGTTAAACCCCTTCCGTTTAACAAAACATGTCTGTTCAAAATATGAAATAAAACTAACCAGCTTGAGGATTTTATACAACCCTCGCAGGATTGTATCAACCCCAAAATGTCTTCATTTCACTTATACAAAATAATGACAACTGATGAATATGCAGCTCTGGACTACAATGCACGTCGTGTACCTTCACATGTGCTCTTGTAGTTGGAGCAGCAGTCGCCCGCTTCCACGCAGTCTGCAGAGCAGGAGCAGAGGCTGTTCACCGAGCGCTCCTCGTCGCAGCGGGACTTAGAACACGTCCAGCGTCGACCTGGAACACAACGACTGAGGATGAACAGCACGACACAGATGACGTGGGGAGATTATGAGGGTATTCAAATTCAAGTTTGGTTGTAGAGTGCTTTGCACAGTACATTTTGTTTCAAAGCAGTATCAAGATAAACAGCTGACGATGTGGTGTATATGACAAGCCTTCAGAGCTGTATTTACAAAAATGTGTAACTTGTGATAAAATTTTAGGGTTACAGTTTATTTTAAGGTGTCATTGTTACAGTGTAATTACACAAATATGTACTGAGAGTAATATTAATTAACTTCACATACTTACTATAGGGTTAAGGCTAGATTAAAGTTTGGTTTAGGGTTAGTTGCATGTATAACTATTATTAAAGGGTTAGTTCACCCAAAAATGAAAATTCTGTCAGTAATTACTCACCCTCATGTTGTTCCAACCCCGTAAGACTTTCGTTCATCTTCGGAACACAAATTAAGATATTTTTGATTAAATCTGAGAGCTGGATCACTCCTCCATAGGCTTCTGAAGGGATCGAAACTGGCCGGCCCAAAAGTTATGAAAGACATCGTTAAAATAGTCCGAGTGACTACAGTGGCTCAATCTTACGTTTATCAAGCGACGAGAATACTTTTTGTGCGCAAAAAACAAACAAAAATAACGACTTTATTCAACTATTCATTTCCTTCTCTGTACGGCCGTGATATTTCACGTAGTGATATTGCGCAAAGCTTCTAGGTTGCACGTCACACGTAGGCTCACTATTGGCCGACGCTGGTCATGTGTGTGATGCGTGACGTACAACCTAGAAGCTTTGCGCAGTTTCACTATGTGAAATCTCACGGCCCACAGAGAAGGAAATGAATAGTTGAAAAAAAGTCGTTATTTTTGTTTGTTTTTTTGCACACAAAAAGTATTCTCATCGCTTGATAAACTTAAGATTGAGCCACTGTAGTCACTCGGACTATTTTAACGATGTCTTTAATAACTTTTGGGCCGGCCAGTTTCGATCCCTTAAGAAGCCTATGGAGGAGTGATCCAGCTCTCAGATTTAATCAAAAATATCTTAATTTGTGTTCCGAAGATGAACGAAAGTCTTACGGGGTTGGAACAACATGAGGGTGAGTAATTACTGACAGAATTTTCATTTTTGGGTGAACTAACCCTTTAAAGTTATAATAAAGATATATTATTATCTATTAGTTCTATCATAAAAAATGCTGTTTTGGTTGATATGCTTTCAAATAATGATATAACATATTCTTAGCAACATATTACACATAACGTATCCCTGCTTTCTTTCTCCTGGAATTCAAAAAGACGATATTTTGAAACTGGTTGTCCACACAATGAAGGTCAGTGGGGTCCAAAAACAGCATGACTTTCAAAATATATTCCACAGACAAAGCCACATATGTTTGGAAAGAAATTAGGGCGAGTAAATGACAGAGTTTTCCGCAATTCACCAAATGAATGCGAAATCCACCCATTCCTCACGTGCAGTGCACACAGCAGGCGCCAGGAGGAGGGAACATTTGGCTACTGTGCTGGAAACTGGAACTGATTCAAAACATCAGGGGGAAAAAAAACTACAGGGATTGACTTTAATCCTAAACTCGGAGAAACCCAGAGCTCTTAACACTGTACTGAGGGAATTTCAACAGGTGGGTGTTGATGGTTCAGACATTCTTGTTTCCAATGTTTGCAAAGTAAGGCCTTTTCTAGGCCGTTCCAGCCCATAAATGTACACACACTTTAAATAAATTAATTTTCCCTTTTTCTATCTCAGACACACACAAACACAGATGGTTTGCAGGGCTACCTAGTACCGAGAAACCAAACATAACTTAAGGCTTCCTCAAACTGAAGAGTGAGAGTGTGTTATGTTACAGTAACGTGACCCAAGGGAGAGTTAACACCTAACAACAGTCTCGGGTGATCCATTCATAAGAGAACAGCACTAAATACAGGTTCAATTGGTTGAACTTGAGAGAGCTTTTTTGACCCACTAACAGTAAGTAACAGTAAGTACAGTATATCTTTATATGTAACTTCATTATTACTTTATCATTTTCAGGATATGGTTAAAGTGCTAATTTAAATAAATTGACACTGTAAACACAAAAAACACTTCTGAAAAATGTTTTGACCAGGACAGTAAAACAATTAGACAAGAGCTCCGATTCATTTAAATTCAAAAACACAAAGATCCAGTCAACTCTGAGTTACGCTTAAAACACTCAAAACTTCTGAAACAATACAAAAACACACTAAGGCTGAGGAAACTGGATTATTATAACAACACAAAAAGAAGAAAAAAAACAGATCCTAATAACAGAGGAATCTGTGTAACCAGTAATTTGGGAAAATAATTTTGTTCTATCATCAGGTCTCCAGAACAACCTAGACATATTAACTAAATACTGCCACAACTAGACCTTAGAAGTCAACATCCAAAAAAACTAAGATTATGATATTTCAGGGGGGGTGGAGAAACACATCTGGAACATAAACATGTATTTATTTACTGTAAACAACGCCGTACTTCAACACTCTTTACAATATAATTATCTTGGTCTGGTTTTAACCCCCACAGGAAATTTCAATTTAGCAATTAAAACATTAGTTATAAAAGCCCGCAGAGCACTGCACGCCATACGAATGGAATTGTTCGAAATAAACATTCCAATCAGAATTTGGACAACGATTTTTGCTTGTGTGATACTGCCTATTGCCTTATATGGAAGTGGGGTATGGGGCCCAGCAATAAGGTTTGAGACAAACATCCTTTAGAAGGTCTACATGTAGAGTTGTGTAGAAACATCCTTCATGTCCACAGAAACACACCTATCAACTCATGTAGGGCGGTCTCTTCCCCTCAATTTAACGATTAAAATAATTGCTTAGAAATTATGGATACACTTAAAAGCTAGTTCTGAAGACGATCTTCATTTTAAAGCACTTAAAACACATGAATTGAGTGCTAAGAAAAGTCATCTTTGTGCAATGGTTTCAGAACTGACTAACACATCGTTCAATGTCCCTGAAAAAGCTGCAAGAATTAAAGAAATGATTAAATCAAGAGAAAGAGCACCTGAGACGAGCCGTGGTGAGGAGCAGAGAGCGCGTCTCAGGTGCTGCGGTTATCACTCCGCCCAAGTAGCAGTGCTTCGCCTTCAGAGAATATAGTTCCCAGTATTTATACAGTTAAAATATGTCTGTGTCTCATGTGACTTTGTTTTTTGTACACTCTGTGACTATACAAATCACAACATGTAAATAGGAAAATGTTTGCGCTATTTTGTCACTTATTTGGATTAGTATGCTAGCTGCAACCATTTACATCCAGTCTTTGTGCTAAGCTAGGCTAGCGGTGGGTGCGTCAAACAGACTTATAGCACGCACGGAGATGAAAAAGGTATGTGTGGACTTATCTAACTCTGGGGGATAAGGTGAATAGGGTAAAGTCCCAAAAAGTCGCAGTGTTCCTTTAACACTTGATGGGTTAAAGATAGCAGTGAAGTCTTTTTTAAAGGGAAAAATCTCCTGGCTTGGGATGGTATTCCGCCAGAGCATTTAGCCATATGGGACATAGTTGAAGTTTTAATATTAGATTTGATTAACTATGCCCTAGCCTAGAGCATAAAACTTTACATAAGAATCAGAAAACTGCTCTTATAACATTATTATTAAAAAAAAAAGATGTAAATGACCCCATGAAATGCTCCAGCTGCTGTCGTCCCAAATCATTGATATGTAGATGCCAAATTATATGCCAAAGCTCTTGCGATACGCTTGGATAAGGTAATGGATAAATGAATTTATCATGACCACACAGGCATTATTATGGGTCATTTGGAAGCAGATAATGCTTGCAGATTTCGGCATATTGTGGATTTGGCAGAATCATTTAGCTAACAATGTGCAGTGCTCTCATTGGATGCTGAAAAATGCTTTTGACTGGTTGGAGTGGCAATATGTGGGCGCTAATTGGGATTCGGTCCAAAATACATTATTATGTTCCTCTCCAATGTTACAGCTTCAATCAAATGTAAGATAACACTCGAAAATCTTCAAGGTAAAAATGCTTACAATTAATGTTTACAATTAAAGTTACATAAGTTATTCAGTCAAGAGCAATGAGTGATTTTCTCTTTGTCTTTGCTTTGACAGCAGCAGGTTTATTTGATTGCTGTCACTTTAAGAGCGTTTGCAAGGATCTAATATTCTGTTACACAACATGCATTTACTTTCTCAATTATCTACGTTCCAAAACTGAATGTTTTTACTGGAATACTCGCCAAGACGGCACTTTGACAATTGTGTGTGTATTTGACTGTTTAAGCACAATAAGCCAGGAAAACAACTCAGTTTGGTGCTCGCGAGTTGTTTGAGAGGCATGAATTAATAAACATGCAGGAATTAGTACAATTATGCACAACACAAGCACAGTTCAACCGGAGGGAATGGGACGAGTGAGTGAGAGGAGGTGGGTGTGTGTCAATTTGACGTTGGAGAGAAAAGACAGCGAGAAAGCACAGCTGGTTTAAGTGTATCAATACTGCAGAAAAGGAGTATTGGAACAGTTTCAGGTATTTCAGTATCAATATGTATCAAAATGTTGATATTTTTGACAACACAAGTGGTCCCTATACTAAATGCCACAACCAGCTGAATTGTGCTACGAGGTTTGATGGTGCAGATGCAGGCAGGCTGCTTTGTGCCTAAAAACAAGTGCACTCGGGCCACTTTGTAACTTAAACGCCCCACGTAAGCTGTGTAGTCCCCCGTGCCACAAGGGGGCAGTAAGGACTGTACTTACAATGGGAGTAGGTCACTTCAGATGTTTCTTGACCCTTTCTTTTTTTTCCCTTTTGAATAAAAGCTAAAACTTCCAGCTGTGCAGACCAGGGCTGCGTACGAAAACGTAGGCAGCTGACTTGTTGCCTAGCTGCCCTATCAGGCAATGATTTCGCAGTGTAGTGATCAGCAGGCAAACATGAGGGCAGTCTCCCTTC